TTTGTGCTGACCTTTGTCAGATAAGTGAGACTAGTAATAACAACATCACAAGTACTTACTGAAAAAAAGTGTAAGGTCAAGCCAAATTACTTTCCATAAGCTATGTTTAAGAGATACTCCGGCACATCTTGATTACTGTAAGGAAAGATCTGTCGACTGAGAGAAATTCTTTGCCAATGAGCATTTGTGATATTTTAATATTTTTGCTTGCAATAACAATGGGAGCTCTAGAAGCAACTACCGAATTAGTCACCAAGTCAAGAAACGGTGACTTTAATTTGCGCCAGATAAGAAACAAATGAGATAATTAAAAACCGAAGTCCACTCAAAGGGAAGCCGAAGTCCACTTCATGAAGGCAAGTTATTTTTTTTCTAGAATGCTACCTAACGGATTTTGACCAACTTCCGATTATCGTTAAAACCCGGTTTCAAGTCGCTGTTGCCACTAGAGAGTTCTATTATCGTTTTTAGGCGTTTGTGAAAGACCTCAACGCAGATGTCACACAAATGAGATCTTCAGAGGAAAAGAGAAAATTTAAGATTTGAGGGACTGATATCTGGTAGAAAAGAAGGCATTTTTAAAAATGTGAAAGAGCTAGTGATAAACAAAAGAGTTACATAGATTCATATTGCTTACCAGAGATAATTTAACATTTATTTATTTATTTCTTCGGCGTCTTCGTTTTATTACAGTATGGAATGTCAAAATAGCTGTATCCAAAATTTGGTTTATTTGATCAGGGCAAAGCACAGGAAGGCTATCTGTCTAAGGGAAGTAATGCCGTCGTGGAGGACTTTGGCTTATATACACGTTACACAAGGTGAAAGCCACTGAAATAGCCATGCAATCAGCTCGTTCCCCGGGATTGGAACCTCGAACCGAACTATCAGTGTTCTTTTTTTTTTTTTTTTTTTTTTGCTTATTACGTACTCCGCCCTTAGGCACTACACGGAAAGGGAGGGATGCCCCGTGGAGGTCTTTCAAAGAAAAACTGGCTCGTATCCACGTTACACATGGGGATAACCACGAAAACGTCCATGCAGCCAGCCCGTTCGCAGGATTCGAACCTCGGACCGAACTACCAGTGTTCAGCGAGTTTACCGCTCAGAGTCTTGTATAAGTAAGGTCGCATCCGAAGATCGGAGATGAGACAACAGTTGTTCTCAGAATCCGTCTTTATGATTTGATGGAAAAGTTATGGTTTGGCATAAACCAAATAAGCACAAGTTGCAAAAATTTACATAGAACTGTGAAGCATAGCGATGTGGGCGTACGAACTTTACAGCTGCAGAAAATCTAAACTTCATTGCAAGGGAAGAGGAAAGAGCCACGTAATTTTTTAGCATTTTGAAAGAAAATGTGCGTAACAATAATAACAAATTACACCACTGCTGGTCATTTAGTTACTTTTGAGCTAATAATGATTGTTAAAAGATCACTGCGGCATAACGAGCTTAAACTGGTGAAATTGACGACTGGAATTGATGTTGATTTCAGATTGAAATTCTTAATTTTCAGCTAAATTTGAACTTTTGATAAGACTTGTTTTCATTTCATTAATTTGATTATAAAAATATATATAGTGTAACATAAATAAAGCGTAAATCATAAATAAAGTAATCAAACTAAGTCTAAATAATCAAATGAAACTTGATGTTTTGATTCGAAAGACATCAAGACTCCAAGGACAGATTGTGACGTTTTCAAGGCGAAAGTTGGTGCCAAGGTTCTTTGCATTCAAGGCTATCCGACGGAAAAAATGCTTAAAGCTCGGGAGATCTCTACAGAAAGTTTACCTTTGGCAGCTAAAAATATATATTTTTAAAAATTTTATTTAATCCGCTGGAATTTAGCTGTTAACATTAATTAAATAGTTTTCTTTTTCTCTAATCGGAGTTTGGTTTGGTTTGGTTTATTAGACTACGGCAAAGCACTCGAGGGCTATCTGCCTTAAGGGATAAATCCACGATGCCTTCGTGGAGGAATTTTTAAGGGAAACTGGCTCGTATACACGTTACACACGGGGAAAACCACGAAAACACCCATGCAGCCAGCCCGTTCGCGAGATTCGAACCTCGGACCGAACTACCAGTGTTTAGCGACGTTACCACTCGACCGCTGGTGGGCCCCTCTAATCGGAGTAAAGTTCATGTAAGTTCCGAACACAATTTTACCTAAGAAAGCGTTTTGGATACAGACAATCGAAATTATTGGAAATAAAGCAATGCAAAAAATAGCTGCGAATACTTTTTCTCATTTAAAAGTAAATAATGTTAAAAAAATCTGACTGGTAAATTCCATGTGAACAGGAAACTGGAAATGTACGTTCAACGATGCAGCGCTGTTTTGAAGATTTCAGCAAATTTCAAACTTTCATCGGAAAGTTCGCTATTGGTGATCACAAATCGCATATTTAATAATTTATTTTGGATTGTCTACAGCATATTGGTAAAATCCTATCATACGGTACAGTCTTGGCGCGATTTTGAAAATTGTTGCCAAACCTCATATTGGCATTTTTTAAAATTACGAATATCCTGGTATCTTTTTTATTCGAGAAACAACATATTTTTTTTTAATTGTAGCATTTGGTATGCTAATGGCTCACGAAGTAAACAGAACAAAAATATAAAAATAAAAAATAATAATGTACGGTCGCTAATCCAATAATGATTAGAAGCTGCATATTTTCCGAACGCTGCAGTTTTATCCATATTAATAACTTGCTTTAAGAATACATACTTTACTGTAGTACCTGTTATTTAAAACCATTCGGAGCCAAAAAATAGCTGAAAGCACATAAATTAGTAATTTTAATTCGCCTAGGAAAGCTAACTGTAGTTATGGATATTTGGAATCCGGATTAATAGCATTACATTCTTTTATAAAATACCCTATTAATTTCGTATAATTGACTGTATAGGATTTCATAACATCGTATTACTTAGAAATGCAATTAAGGACTGTGAAGTTTGGTTTGGTTTACGTGATTACGGCAAAGCCTGAAGGGCTATCTGCATAAGGGAAGACATACCTTCGTGGAGCACTTTCTAAGGGAAATTGGCTCGTATACACGTTACACATGGGGGAAACCACGAAAACGCCCCTGCGGGCAGCCCGTTTGCGAGATTTGAAACTCTGACCGAATTATGAGCGTTCATAGACTTTACAGCTCGGCGCTGATGGACTTAAAGGGCCATGAAGAGCTTAAAGGGCTGTACTAAACAAGATTTTGCATCATCATTGCGCATCTAAAAATTAAGTTAAAGCGAATACTTACAAATTTGGGGGTTCCCAAACGCCTTCCGACATGCTTTTATATCTATCTCACACATCGTGTTTATAAAAGAAAAAATGTCTTACACAAAACGAGTAAGATGCTAAGAATATTAAGTGAAAGATAACGAAAATAACACTCAACTTACTAAAGTTTAATTAATAATTCTTAGGTACATTAGCAAACTCAACTTACTAAAGTTTAATTAATAATTCTCATTATTAATTAATAATTAACTCAACTTACTAAAGTTCTACGTACTAAAGTACTAGTACTTTATTACTACGTACTAAAGTACTAGTTTAATTAATAATTAACTCAACTTACTAAAGTTTAATTAATAATTCTTAGGTACATTAGCATTCCGTTAATAAAGTACAACGACTTTATTAACGGAAATTTTATCAACTTTTGCGCAGTGTTTTGAAATTGTATGGTTATTTATTTTAAGTTTCATCAACCGAGCATTTTATAAATTTGCTAGTACTTAAAAGGCAACATAAGCAGAAAATTTTCGTAAAATTTAATTCTGCAGTTTTAATTTGAAGATGAAAAGTAAAAAAAGATGTAACTTAAAAAAATTCAGTTAAACTCAAGATCATTTTAGAGATAAGAAAATAAAACTCTTAAGCGAGAATTCAATCAAGTGCATTCCCTTTGCTTGCATTCATCAGGCTGTATAATACATCTTCACAAAATGAAAAATGTTTTAAACGTAAATGCGGTAAATTAATTAATTGGTTATTCCATTAAGGCAAAACTCTCACTATTTAAAGGAAAAGAATGGGATTACTAGGTTCGTGGTTTATTTATTGACAACAAAGCACTCGAGGGCTATCTGCTTAAAGGGAGGGATGTCTTCGGGCAGCACTTTCTAAAGGGAACTAGCTCGCATACATATCACACAAGGTGAAAACCATCATGCAGCCAGCCCATTCGCCGAGATCCGAACCCTGGACGAAACTTCCAGTGTTCAGAATCTTCGCCGCTCGGCCTCTAATGGGCCTTATTTGGATTATGACAAAAACAAGCTACGGCAAGGTTTCTCAGACTATGGTACTATTTATCGTACGAAACTATACCAATAATTGTATATGACATTATTACTGAGGCTACAATTTTTATAAAAATGATTTTAAATGTATGTTGGAAATGAATTTAAAATAGTGCCCTATTGAGTTCACAACGGTACACATATTTTTTATTTTTATTTATGTGGTACACAATTTTAAAAGTTTCAGAAACACTGCACTATGTTTATTTGTCTAAGTGGGATGCCCTTGCAGAGGATTTGTGAGGAGAAGCTGACCGGCATTTACATTATGGAGCCAGTTCTTACGCCATGGTTTGAGACTGGATAGAACTAGCAGTGTTTAGAAGGCTTATCGAGTGGTCACTAAAGGGCTTAAAAGGAGGATTTGCCTTCGTGGCGGGCTTTCTATGCGAAACTGGCTCGTATTCACATTATACAAAGTAAGCAACGTAGACGCAATCAGTCTACTTGCCGATATTCGAACACGGGTCAAATTACCAGCGTTCAGCGTCTTATCTGCTCGGTCACTGGCGGGCAAAATGCAGCAAGACAGATAAAAATAAAAAGAAGAATTTATATTATAAGTTCCTGCATAATGCAGCCATGAAATCTTATAACATGGCGAAGTGTATACAGACATTTATTGCATTGCCATTTTAAATAAATACTTTATTAAAGAAAATACTTACACAGAACCAAGGCCGCTATGACTCTGACGACGTCCTGCGGAATAGCACTACAGGGGAAAAATGGCTCCAGCACATAATTTGCAAACGTCAGCGCAGCTATAGCATTACCGACGGGTGCAATAATCAGCATGAAGACCCAAAGAAAAAGAAAGGCCGGAAGTTCTCCAAAGCACATCTGCATGTACGTGAAATCACAGCCCGACTTCGGGAAAGTGGTGCCTAATTCTATGTAACACAGAGCTCCCATCATTGATAATATACCGGTGACACTCCAGACCACTAATGCCATGCCCATCGATCCAACTTCCTTCAGAACACCCTTCGGCGACACAAAAATACCGGTGCCCACTATGGCACCTATAATCATAGTGACTCCATTAAGAAGTCCTAGCCGTCTTTTAATGCATATGTTGTTGTTCAGAGAGTCTTGTGCGATTTTCGGTGGTAAAAGGTGAGTTTTTTCTGACAAATTGGTTATTAGAACCATTTTTGTGTCTCGAAATCTTTCGTACCTTCACAAATTGCAATACACGAAGATAAAAAGCGGGTGGTTTACAGAGAAATATTCGCTTTTTGGTCCTGTCGAAGAAATGAACTTGAAAACCGAACTCGATTTAAATTATAATGAGAAATAAATAATTGAAATGTAACAAAATGCTGCTTTAAAGAGACAAAACACAACATAACACTAACAGTTGAACAAAAAAAATATTAATATCTTCTAATCGACAAAATTCGTCAACGAAATTGTTCTGCCGCTGTAGTGAATTTGGCGTAAACCATGTCTGAAATGCCTAAATTCTACAATTAAACGTTCCGAAGTAATGAAACTGAAAACGTACGAAATGTCCCAAAGAATAGTTTTAGTAGCTTTTGTTAAGAATTTGTTACACATATAGTCGATGACTACACACTTAAATGATCTAAAAATACAAAATCATTACACTGCAACGGAAAATAGCAATCACTTGAAAATACAGCGAATATAACATTCGAGAGATTTAGGAATCTCAATAATAAAGTTCTGTTTGTTGTTCTGAACTGAACAGTCACGAATTATTCTATTATTCTGAAATACACGATCACAGCTGTAACCAATCACTCAAGATTTCTTTATAACACTTACTTTAAAAGGTAAAAACTAAATTTATCCAGAAATTTGAAAAAAATATCGTAGAATAAATTAAGAGGAAGACAGCAAAGATTTACCTCATGCAATTAAGATAGAGAAATCCAAAAGGAAAAAGATCTTATAAAATAAATCCTTACTTTAAATCCATGTATCTTACAATTCTTACCCCAAAACATAGATTTATACTAACAATGTTTTACTGACACCAGCAATACTGAACATAATAAATGCACCAAATAACGCTTGGACCAAGAAAATAAATTAAAACAAGACAGCGACGCTTGAATTTGATACCGATACTCACAGTAGCGACTCGAAACTGACTACTACAATGTGCGTGTCGCGATTTCTGAGCGTCCCTGAGAAGACATTTCATTTATAACACAATGCAGCGGGAACTTTTTTGATAGCTGCCGCAACCAGATGACCCGAAGAAGTCCGTTTAAAGTTCATTACGGAACTAGTCGAATAATGACGTCCACTTCGGATTTATCTGGAAAAATCCAGCTGAAGTTGGGAAGAAATGATTCAGCGGGGAGGGAGGGAAAGGAATAAAAAGGGGGTGAAACTAAATAAAACAGCAATCAGAAGCAGAGAAGGACTGCTAAGTCAGCGCTGATAATTCTTATAACTATAAATAGAAGCGCATGCGCAGATAAATTTTTACTGATATTTGATACATTGACAGGTATACTAATATTCAAGAAGAGATGACTTTTCCTGCTCTTACCAGTTCATTGAAGGGACCCCTTTTGAAGGAAACCTGAGGGAAATTTTCCATGTGAGAAGAAACTTAGTCGGAGAAAGAAGAAAGGAAAGAAAGCACTTTGCTTTCGGAGACACGAAATGAAAGAAAGTCTTTAGGCGAGTGGATAGATTCTGAGCTGCGAAGGAGGGGGGTTCCAAGAGGTCGTCAGTGCGTGATTGGGTTGCATCACGTGTGGTGTGCACGTTGCTTCATCATTCGTGGAGAAAGGGAAAGTTAATTTTCATCTGTATCAATACTGATATTTATTTCAGCTGGTAGCTTTTGTATAGATGTTTATACAGAACACACGCAATTTTCAGACCTCAGTGTCTTATTTGCGAATTATTTACAATTTTATTTACAATTATCAGTTACTAAATATTATCGGAAATATTTTATTTCCCCCTCACGTATACTATTAATCATCTTTTTTAAAACTGCTTTGTTTTGAAAAAAGTTATACAAATTGATTTCGGTAAAAAGCGGGAAAATGTGAAAGATCTGTAAATTCAGCCTCACAGAAGTACTCGTACACAACTCACAGAAGTACTCGAACCGTTCATATTTAATAAAAACATGAAAATAACGGGACACTCACTATTTGATTGGATATCTTTTAGCTAAAATTACACTTTTCATGCGCTTTGACATGGATTCAATGAATTTTTAATTTTGTGTAATTATTTTTTTTCATGCAATTTCCCCCCATTCTTCCGTATAATAATTGTTGTTAGCAGAGCTTTTGAAGAAATATCATGTTTTCTTATTCTTTTCTCCAAACCACTCCATAAGTGCTGAATAAGATTTAAGTCTGGAGAATATGAAGGAGTTTTAAAAAATTCAGTTGTATAATAAATACCACAAGCGAACATTTAGGACTGTATGGGTAGGATCTTTATTTTGATAGAACTCAATTGTAACTCTTCTTTCAAATGTTTTCAGGTTTTCAATAATAGTTATATATTTACACTGGCCCATATTCTTTTCTATAAAAATCAGAGGTAGATTCCCAAAATAGTTTGCCTTCAGTATCCCAGCTGAATAATAGGCAACAGGTTATTTTATTTATTTATTTAGTACGAACTCCTCCGTTAAGCCTTACACGGAAAGGGAGGGATGCCCCGTGGACGACTTTTTAAAGGAAACTGGCTCGCATCCACGGTCCACATGGGGAAAATCACGAAAACACCCATACAGCCAGCCAGTTCGCTGAGACTCGATTCCCAGACTGAATTACCAGGACTCAGTGGATTTGACCACTCGGCCACTCGTGGGCATAATCTAAATCTTCTCCACGAAGTAATATGTCCATCGGGTCTAGACATATTTAATTTTGTTCACTCATCTGCAAATACAGACTTAAAAATACAGTTACCAATAGGATAAATCATTGCCTACCTTGGATTTTGTGAACATCTTGTAGAGACATTAGATATTTTTTTGGAGGCAGGCAAGATGAAAAATTAGCAATGCCTTCTCCGGGAATCGAACCACGGACTTCTGGAATACCGGCCCAGCGTGCAGAACCACTACACCACGAAGGTACGCTAGGAAAGCGGGAGAAATACCTTATATACTTCCCTTTTTAAAGGGTGACTGGGGTTTTTAGGGGACCCAATCGACAAATCCTGGGTGTGAAGAGTCATCATCCACAACCCTTTTAGTTCGGGCGCCACTGTAGAGACATTGGGTACTTTTTTGGAGGCAGGCAAGATGAAAAATTAGCAACGCCTTCGCCGGGATTCGAACCATGGACCTCTGGATTACCGGCCCAGCGTGCAGAACCACTACACCACGAAGGTACGCTAGGAAAGTGGGAGAAATACCTTATAATGTGTCCAAATGACTCTTCTAACAATTTCAGGGTTTTTAGGCTCCAAAACTTTATTATTCGTGATATAAAATTGTAGATGAATTTTGTAAAGTGAATTATTTAATCTCTTGTTTCATTTTCTCCTATTACTTCATTAATTATTTCTATTATTTATTATGAAATTCTGTTATTATTTACAAAATTACGGAAAATTATATTTTTTCAAACTTTACACTGATATTTATGCATAGGATCTAAGCTAAAAAAAACTCTTGCATTTTACCTTAGACTATCTTGAAGGGTCTGCTCGCATTCTTTTCATTTCCCGGTGATACTTTAAGAAGCCCATTCCATGTGTTTGATCTCGCCTATGTGTGGTAATTTAATTTCTATTATTTTCCGATAGTTTTATTAACAAGTTTTTTTGCTAACACCTTCGTTCGCAGCATTATTTTAAGTCCTACAAAAATATTTCACGCCCTTGGACTTTTCCGTGGCATATACCAACTGATCTCGAGCTTCTATAATATTATTTTTATTGTTATTTCCATGTACGAAGTAAAGAAAGCATTTTAGTAAACGCGAAAAATTTCGGGCATCATATTTCAACTAAAATATATATTTTGACCGCTCTCGAATCTATTCGAACAACGTTTTTGCGTGCCACGGAGAGAATAAAGAGCAGTTAAAAAAACAAAACAAAAAAAAAAAAAAAAAAAAAAAAAAAAACCGTGAGTATTTGTTTGCGTTTGCAATGTTTATATTTGGCCGGGCCTTTATCGTAACGGAAGCTTGAACATTTGTTTATGTTTACAACGTGCATTTAATGACAGATTGATTGGACAGATTAATTTAAAGATAAAAGAGAGAGAGAGAGGAAATAGCTCTGAATTGAGGGGAAAAAAAAAAAAAAAAAAAAAAAAAAAAAAAAAAAAGAGCGGTTTCTCCAACGGATAATTTTGTTACTTAATTATCTCTAATAAATATGAATGATAAAATATGAAGTGATAAAATATGAATGAGAAAATATGAATTAACAAATTCGAAATTCAAAATTCGGGCTTCCAGGTACATATGTTCGGATGGAGGACTATGTTATTCAAAATTTGATGAATTTCTTTAAAAATAATACAGGGCGATAATATTTCGTGGCAACAATTTGAAAAGTGACACGCCGTTTATAGTAATTCACAGTCAAAATCCCCTTTCGAGACTAATAGCCCATTAGGAATAAGCCCCTTGTGAAGTGAAAATTAATACATGCATTAAAATCCGCGATTCTTTTCCACAATTTGTGATGTGTAGCAACTTTTTATATTCTCTCTTGAAGCATTTAACGTTTAACGTTACACTACAGTCATTTTTAAAAAAGAATTATTATTCCTCTCACATTAATCGTGATTTAAAACTAACTATACGATTTGGATGATATGCTTTAAACCTCGTTAAATTAAAAATGCATATTTCAAAATATCCTTTAAAAGGAAGATACATGCATCTAAGTCAATAAGTTTTGGTTTTTTTTTTTATTTATTTATTTTTTTTTTTATTTTTTTTAGTTATGGCAAAGCACAAGAGGGCGAGCTGCCTAAGGAGGGATGCCTTCGTGGAGGAATTTCTAAGGGAAACATGTTCGTATACATATTACACATGGGAAAAATCAAGAAAACTCCCATCCAGCCAGCCTGTTCGACGAAATTTCGAACATCGGTCCGAGCTACCACTGTTCAGGACATTGCCACCGCTCGGCCGCTGGTGGGCCCTTAACCAATAAGAATTACAAGCCCATTTTCCCAAAGATATATCATTTAGTTGAACTTCCTATATATATTATTTTGTGATTTAATGTTCAGTTAATGATACCAGAGTGAACAGCACAAAGTTCTGATTGAGAACGATGATTTTTTCTTAAGGTAGGAAATTTCTTAGTTAAGGAAATTCTGTCCCTCTGATGTCCATTTCGGACAAGGAACTCTGAAAACAGAGTCTCACAGATACAGTGACCGGGGAGGGGACGTAGAAAATTTTCCGTCGAAACTCTGTAACTGAAGTATTACATACCAGAATGATAAAGCTACGGTCAACAATATCTCAAATGAATGAAAAGCTTTGATATATACAAGGTGGATATTCTGGCACTGAAGAATAAGTTTTTTTTGCCAGTCTGAGTCAATAAGCTACATAGATGAATTTAATAAACGGAGGTGTTTATATTAATTAGTAAGTATTTGTTTTGGTTTCTGAAAATTTCAACGTAATAAGCAGCTGAGTTTATTAACCACCGAGCTTAATAAGCGACGGGTGTTGCAAACTGATATAGTAGTTCAATAAGACATCTTATTTTCGATATTATTTAAGAATTCTTTTTTCAGAATATGCGAAAGATTTCACGTACTTTCTTTCTCTCGTAAATCATTGCCTTTAGCAAATTAATGAGATACATTACGCAGGAGAAGAGGAGGAAGAATGACCTTGCTTGTTTACATTAGTTGTACATAAGTCACGTGATTTCTGAGGTCATCTGCATTCTTTGCTTACAAAAGCTATGACTCACGTGATCTCCGAGGTCATCGGAATGTATCTCATTAAAAGTGCTACACTGTTCGCGTTTTGTTAATTTAAGCATTATATTGAATACCTAAACGTGAGATATATGTATAGAAACTCTTTATTTTTTCAGTAGAGGGCAATACCCATTAGAGAGGTTG